ACAGGTCATAACTCTCGTACGTGCCAAAAAGATGTAGAGGAAGATTCTCTTTTAGATGCAAGTAAGTCGTACGAAGCATCTATAGCTAGTATAGAGTAATTTAAGTTTTCGTACGTGGAGTTCGCGATGCCAAGAAAAAGTGGCACACTCGGTGGGGTGGCACTCTCGGTGGTGGAATACGTTAGTAAGAAAGTACAATTTGAGTTGACCACAACGAGGGTAATAATGAAAGCCGTCCATCCTTATATCCTCATTGTTTTCCAGTCCTGGCTTCACGGTCTTCACGAAATAATCCTTGTATCTTCTGAAGTCCCTGAAGCCATCTAGTCACGTGTGGGGGTGTCCTCACATACTAGCGCAGAATACTTGGTCTTGGCGTGAAGCCAGTCACGTGATCGTCGCCCCGCGATGATCATTACCTTCTGACGTGGACGCCCTTAGGCCTTCAGCCATCTCGTCATTTGTCAAGGAGAGAATCCTTCTTGTTACTTGTAACAAGGAGCTCCAAGACCTAGACCAAAGGCAATAGTTAGATAGATACTAACCTATGTAGGTATTCTGGGAAATAAAGCTACAGACAAAGCCGCTAAGAAGGCGACAAGGTAGAGAGGGAATGGCCGCAAATGTCTACTAGCAGACGCGCCTTCAAGACTCTACCCGCTCAAATCGATAATCACAAAATAGTACAGAATACAGGAAGAGCGAGTGTGGAGAGCCCAATGCTGATCGCCATCTAAGGGCTGAGCAACCTACGGTCATACACCATTGTCTACTAAGAAGGTACTCCAGCTCCACAAAGGGCTCAGCAAACGACAGAGCGCACTGTTAATCTAGCTGCGCACTGAAAATATCGAGCTGAAGGATTTCTTTTTCAGCCGAAGAGTGCCGGACGTTACCAGCTCCTGTTGTCAGTATGGTGAGAGGCGGCAAACCGTGGCCCACATCTTGCTTCGTTGCAGGACTCACAAGGACCTCCTGAACTAGGTATTCGACACTCTCTCAGGACGCCAGAACCTTCAGGATATCCTGAGCAGGCCAAAATTAGCCATTAAAGATAGTTAGCTTGTAGAGCAAGCGAAGATTCTTAGGCAGGTGGGGACCAGTGATATGTAGCCAACATCCAATGCTTGAGGAGACTTTAGGCATGGCGGACGCGGCAGGCAGAGCAGGTCGCCTCTATCAACCTAAAAGTATAGGATGCATTTGATACAAATAGTATCTGAATAGCCTGGCAAAGAATGTGTAAATAGTGGTTTGAGGGAAAACGGCAGACCTCTGAGGACAGGTGGTCCTTTTGGGATGAAGCGGCTTGGCGTGAATCAATAGTCACATCGTTTCAGCTGTCTGCTGTACCTGTCACTCTAGGCATAGCTGCACAGAATTTAGCTGAAACCGAGTAAGACTATATCAAACCAAATAAATCGTGGATTTGGCGCTTGGTCATCGATCGAGGTCAAAGTAGTTTATCAAAATGCAGCTTAGCCAGTGTAAAAATTCGCAGGCAGCCAGCTGGAAACGGTTGTTTGACCGATACAGGATGCAGTCACTTCTTAGCTGTCTAATGATATTCGCCAACATTCCTTTAAATTTCCACCTTCTTGAACGCCAGAGTTTTTTCTGTGTCTGGTATACTTGCTGGCCCTACGTCAATCTGCGCGTACCGTTCTGTCTCCCCATTGGGCATCTTGACGTCATACTCGAGGATCAGCTTCACCAGGATCATCTTGATCTCGTTTGCAGCGAAAAAACGGCCAGGACAGACATGGCGTCCATACCCAAAGGCCAGGTTAGTCTCGTTGCTAGTAACAAACTGGTTGCGTGCGATAACCGCTTCTTTGCCGCTGGCGCACAGCTTGTACGACCGGAAACCATCAAATACATCTCCTGAGGGGAAGTATTCATCATCGAGGTGAATGGCTGCGCTGGGGACTTCTATGGTAACGCCCGGGGGTATATATTGCCCGTTGCTAAGGGTGATGCCTTTGAGCGCACGGCGGCTAAAAGCTGCTAGAAAAGGGAAGTGGTGTTAGTTGTCATGTTTTTTACACTGTGAGGCGCACAAAACCAGATGGACGATAAGGGCCGACTCACTGATTCCTGGGGCGTAGAAGCGGTTTACCTCCCTCATGTAGCTATCGAGTTTCCCCATCTGTTGCAGAGCACGAGAAGTAACGATTCCGCCATTTTCAGCAATGACATTGCGCATCTCCTCGCGGATGGGACAAATGTACTCTGGGGTGACGGCGAGTGTGTACAGAATGTTGGTGGCGGTCAAAGTTGTGGTATGGATAGCGCCGAAAATGAGCGTTATTTGGAAAGAAGCAATATCTTCGATTGATGCTTTCCCGTCACCTTCTTTACCGCTAGACCGAGCGATTATCCATTGTAACATATCATCCGGCTCTTGCCAATTGGGATCTTTTGCCTTTGCAGTCATCCTCTCGTTTATGATCGGAAGCACGAACTCGCTTAATCGCTGTTGGTACTTCCGCAACTGAACCACCTCTGGGAGGCGGTGCGCCAAAAAAGGCTTCAGCCAAGGACGGAGCTGCTTGACGGCCGCGACGGTTGCCCCGAGATAAACAGTATAGTTTGTCACAAGCTCGATGTACTCTGGGTTCCTACATAGTTCTGGTCCTACAAAGATACGACCAGAGACTTGTGACACAACATACAGGAGTATTTTGTTGATGTTAACTTCAGACCAATTCTCGCATGAGGGCATATACTGTCGCATTGCGGCGTCGACCTCTGAGGATATAATTGGGCTCAGCCGAGCTGATGTTGCGTTAATTTGAATAGCGTGTAAGCAGTGTTTATGTTCGAACGTACTGAGCGATTGCGTGAGATTAGTTTTAATCGCGTGGATACCGGCAGGTAACTCAAGATTAAGTTTCGTATATTTGGTTTCGTTGAGCTATCGGTGGTTAGCGTCATCCATGTTGATGTCGAATTCATTGGTTAATGTCTACTTGCAGTCTTGAAGGCTATGGGAAAGCTGAGGACATCGTCCTGGAGATTTCGTAACTCGGGGAGCAGACTCGCAGGTACGACAACATTTTCTACGCCTAGGAAGCAATAAGCGATGGCAACTAATTGGGTTTGAGAGTTGCTAAAATACCTTCCTCTTGAGTGATTCTGTAAACAGAGTTTTTGAACTGGCAGCGGTATGAGTAGCAGTGTATTCATACAGTAATGAGTGACTTACTTTGGCGTATCCATATTGGTACATCCGTCTCGCAGACTTGAGATATGCCCGCCGTTGCCTCTCTCCACTGAGGCTGCTGAGAACCGGCAGACTTCTCAGCCGAATCTTGCGCTTGAAACTGGGAACATATATGCAAACTGTGAGAATTACTGTAGCAATGATCACAGCTTGCAGCACATAAGTCAACTGGGTAAGAGTTTTCCCACCCATGGTCGTAAAACCCTATGTTAGAGGCGCCACAGAGTTGTTGGTGTTTTCAAGTTTGCTAGTCGTCTTCGAGGTGGGTGATAGAGTGCACACAAGATTGGACAATTCTAAACTTTGTCAATTTATCTTGAGACCAACACGTTATTCAGTATATAAGTAGGTATTAGGGTTCTTCGTGCAGTCCTTCCTGTACCGCGCTTATCGGAGAGCAACTGGCGGATGGACTATCAACTAGTTGTTAGTGTCTGACAGGCAAAGCACTCGGCAATCCCTAGGCCAAGTCTTATTGCCGTTACCACACTAAACTAGATATGCAGCTGCAAGGATAACAAACAGTCTTGTCAGGAGCCTCCGAGGTTGTATCCTATGGATGTCGAACGATATCACCTTTTCCGGCTATGCAATCTTTCAGTTTCTTGACCGTAAGCAAACAATAGGACCTAATAAGCAGAGTATTCACCTCTATTCATTTGCACGGATGTGTCGGAAGTTTATAAACAGGGATACCATGCAATATGCCCACGTACTATGTACTACGTAGTAAAACCTTGTTCAATGGGTTTGTTTCTCTCACATCAGCGTTCCCCCGCTTAACAGACGTGACGCAGCCGAGCGATCGCCGCATAGTCTAGTCCACGCACGGTGCTCTCCGCCCTGCACCTTAATGCAGGCTGCAACGTCCGCCCCTGTATAGCGAAAAACCTTGTGCGTTAAACATGACTAATCGGATTGCAAGGGTTACAGAGAAGTTTATGGGCATGATCCTTACGATCCGATTAGTTGTTTTCCCAACATCGCTACCGAAGCGGTTGTTAGCAGGCTTGAGATGTGCAGGGGTACCGCGTCACAAAGTGACAGGAGTGGGTGAAGGCTGTAGACTGGATTCTCTGCGCAGGACACTTTTCTTTGTAAGATGGTTACAAGTAAAGACGTCAAAGTTGATGAATTAATTACAATAATATATCCTAAAACAGTGTATTGCATCTATTTGTAGAGATAACAGCTTCTCATCACAATAGCATAGACTCAATCGATATCCCTAAGAAATCCTTACCAAAGGACTGCCAAGCTCGTTTAGTTTATAATATAGCTCTCCAAGTATTGAGCAATATCCATAAGTCCACTTAACAAAATCGCTTGTATAGCTCTAGACATGTTCAATCGGGCCGAAGTCTTGTGATGGAGATGGCCGATATATTGTTGATATACAATTGTCACGCAACCAAGTATGTGTATGTCGAGATTTGTGGGCAGATGCATTACCCTCCATAAAAAGGAGATCATGATTGTGACTTTAGAGCTGACTAGCAGCTGATTCGATAGCTGACTTGGGACTTGAATTACCTTCTGATGGAAGTGATGTTGATATATGCAATCATGCACATGTGCTAGACATACTTGTGATATGTAGCTGAAGTGTTTTAGCACCATTGCTTCTACTAAAAGACGACAAGGCCCTTTGTTGTACGACAAGGATGCCCAGAGCATTCAGCCACCTCGTGCAACCTGGTATTGCTCAACACATTTCATATTATAGGCCTCTTCTATACAACAAGTGATCCATATATGGTGATGACGACCAACTTTCACCTACATCTTAGCACTCCACAGTATTGATGATATGAAATCTAGGCAAACAAAAGCTGACAACGATGTGTTTCTAGGGGTGGCTTGCGCCGAGCAATACGACCTCGAAAATCTTTCCTCTATAACTAGTTGTTTATTAATGATACCTCCAGAGACACCAAAGTGCTGTGATGCGTAATGAAACAGTGTCAGAGAGGTCACCTGCTGTACTTCTGATGAGTTAGTTATGCATTGAATGATACTATCGGCCTATATCTATAAAGCTAGGCTGGCGATTCCTGTGAGGTGTGAGATCGATTCGATTCAAAGCATGCTGTACCTAATAAGATGTAAGATGTAGATAGGCAGTAATCTGAGCTTGTGTGAAGTTGGCCTCTCGGAGTAGGTGCATATGTATACAATCATCCCGAGTTACTTCAATAGTACGATGCCATTGAGCTGGTATAGCTTGCGTAAATAGCACAGTAAGCATAATTAGCATAGATGAAATGTGCCAGATAGGATACAATACGTAAACAGCACTCTCTTGATGCATTGATAACAAAAGGGTATCAAAAGATTGGTGTATTACTCCGCAAAACAAGGGTAACGACTTGCTAGGATTACATTCTGCCAGGCTTGGTACGCCACGGTGCTCCGTGCAGCCCTTGCGCCTCCCAATCACGCTAGCGATCACTTCAGTATTTTGATCCTTGAGGCATTTTATGCAAGTAAATGTACGGCTACGCGGATACGACATTGACAGGGAATAGAATTCCGCGATTCTACGGCTGGGGACAAGAGTACGACTGGCCAAATGCTAACAAGTTAGCGTGGGTTCAATCTTTAGTTCTCTTTCTCCTTCATATATCATAGTTGTGCGATGTCCGAGGAATATTTTCTCTTGTCGCCACGCGATCGTGAATTCATTCCAATTATTATGGACACCTCTAACATAACATACAACATGCTTTTAGCGTTCATCCTAACTATTCTCTTTTTAAGCGTTTTCGCCTATCTGTGTTCTCAAGGCGAGAAGTATCCTGATGCACCGACACTTCGCGTGTCTACGAAGCCTGGGACAATGGGAACATTGGAAGATAAAATGATGTATGTGACCGATATCATGAAGCTCCTTGACGTAGGTTGGGAAAGATACTCGAAGAAGGGCATCAATTATATTCTACTAGCTCCTACCCGAAAATTCTATATCGTGGCACACAAATACTTGGACGAGGTTCGGCGTGCACCCGAAACCCATGTGAGCAATCTTGCGTCCAACAACGAGGTAAGTCGTATTCTCTCACCCTACATTTAGCGATTCTTAATGTCTTTGTTAGACTATGCAGACTCGGTACACCCTACACCCTAAGTTAATGTGGGATCAATACCATTTTGATATTCCAATTAGAAAATCGTTGACCCAGAGTCTGGGACCTAAGCTTAGGGACATAGCTGACGAGGGCAAACTGGCACTAAACCAGTTCTTGGGCTCTTCTAAAGGTGCGAGTTCTTTGATTATTCTTTTCCAATATCTCTTGACCGTAGTATTGAAGCTTATGGTTCACAGACTGGGAATGTCGCCCCATATATCGACTGGGTTTCGAAGTGACGACACGGACTGCAAATCGACTTCTCTTTGGCATTGACCTGGCTCGTGACGCCGAGTTCCAGAATCTGTCGATCGAGTATTCTGAAATCATGTTTGGGGGCGCTGAAATTATTAGGAGTTATCCTGAACTCCTCAAACCAATCGTGATGTGGTGGAAAACCGATATCTACCGTGCACAAGCACTAGCAAAGAAGATACTTTGCCCTATAATAAAGGCTCGAATCGAGCAGGGAGATCGCTATATAGCCGAAGGTCGCCAGGCAGAATGGGAGAAGATCAAAGCTGACGACGCCATTCAGTGGGTGCTCGACGTGTCACCTCGCAAAGAACGTGTCCCAGACCTTCTCGTCTATCGCATGCTGCATATCAATATCTCAGCTGTTCATACCAGTAGCGTCACATTCCTTGAGATCATTCTCAATCTTTCTGTCACCCCTGAGTACCATGAGGAACTCCGCGATGAGATTGTTCAGATATTCAGACAAGAAAGAGGATGGACAAAGCAGGCGCTGACCTATCTTGTCAAGATGGACAGCTACTGTACTGAGACGATGAGATTAAACGTCCTTTCTTCATGTAAGGTCACGATGTTACTACTCGAAACCACTCTAATTATGAAGCAGTTAAACTGGGGCGCAAAGTTATTAAAGATTGGCAACTAAGCGATGGCATTAAAATTCCAAAGGGTACTTTTCTCTTCTGCAATCACTCAACTGTAGTGCAAGACGCAGATTACTTCGAGAACCCACACCATTTCGATCCGTGGCGAATGTTTAGACTCAGGCAACGCGATGGCGAGGCTAATAAGCACCAATTTGTCATGACTTCTGACACTAACCTCGCTTTTGGCCATGGCAAGCATGCTTGCCCAGGACGATTTTTTGCTGCGAACGAGATTAAAACACTCCTTGTATTGTTTCTCATGAGGTACGATTTTGAGGCGACGAATTTGAAAGGTGGCATAGCGGAGGTCAAAAAAGGCCGCTGGTTCAACTCCACAAGATTACCAATCGACCATGCCATTATAAAATTCAGAGAACGAACCAGTAGAATACCAGAAGATTTAAGGGTGCATTTTGTTTAATATTTTTACAATGAATTTTAATGGACGGAGGACGTGGACCTAAAAGTAGACGTTTACAGGTCAGTATTAGCAATACAGCATATGTCACTGCACAAGCGATTAGAGGGATAGTCATCTATGCTATATGTGTCGCCGCTATTGGGTGCTACTGTGTCTCAGAAAATATAAGGGCTCTCTGCCTTTTTTGATAATTGCATTTGGTTTTTCACTGTTATTATACTATTCAGAATGAACTACACTAGACCTTACTGCCAAGGCAATCAACTGGCAAGCTACGATAGAGACTGGCTCTGAATACTACCGATTACTCTTCTCAGTCCAGACAACCACGAAATTAGTAGAAAATCCAACGCGCCAATTATAACCCAAGGCCAAAAAAAGCAGGCTGGATACTGATTCAAGAAGAGCTAACAAAGGCTATTCACAGCAACTTAGTGCTACAGTGCATAGATTAACTTAATAACTTAAGAAAAATAGACTCGAAAAACCTGCTCCTAAACAAGAACCAGGGTCTCAAAGAAAACCGGGTAAACAATTACCCAAGTTATCCAACAAGTGGCAGGAAAAGGAATCCCGCTGAACAAGCAAGACCCAAAGCCAAAAGCGTGGTAGAGCACGGATCTTACTAGGCTTGAAGAGAGGTGTCGCAATACCCAAGAGTATACTCCCAGAAGCTAAAGGCTAACCCTAAACTAGACACTATTCCAAAGAAGATGAATTTCTTAGTAGAACGAACCACGTACCTAAGAGCTACAGAAGCTGAAAGGAAACACTGGAACAATTTTCTTGAGAAAGAAGACCTGAAGTCAAGCTATAAAGCAATTGCATGTACAAGAAAGCAGCGAGTAGAGAGGACACCCTAATTTAAGGAAAAAAAACTCACGAATACGTTGAGTGGAAAGTGCAAAGCTTTTAGAACAGCACTCTTCCACCTCCCGAAACGTCAGAAACTCCCAAATTCACCAAATATTAAGAAATCAAGTGACAGTGACCGCTGCTATCAATGTCTGAACTAGAGAAGGCCTGTTTAAGTACAGTCAAAAGGATTACACCACAGTCTGATGCCATCACGCAAGATATCATAACATCTTTCTTCAAAGCCCAGCTGAAAACACACTTTAAAGCCTACTTAGGTCTGTTTAACAACTAATAGTTAGTTAACGATAGTAACGTATTCTATCAGCGAGAGGGCCACTTTTTCTTGGCATTATGAACTTCTTGTACGAACAATGATGCCTCAAAAACAGAACGCGATATTAATCCAACAAGAAGGTCGAATCACTCTGGCTGTTCAGGCCTTTCATATGGGCCAGTTTAAGAGCGTACGACAAGCTGCTGCTACCTACAGCGTGCGACATCAGCAGGTCTCTCGGCGGCTTCAAGGAATCACCTTTCGGCCCCAAGCATTTCCAAATTGCCGCAAGCTTACTATACCTGAAAAGCAAACCATCGTACAGTATATTCCTCATCTATTCGATAGGATTTGTCAACCGACTTTGTGAGGTAGCAGGTATGGCAAAGAAACTACTGCGCGTACGAGGCGGTCAGCCTTTAGGCAAGAGCTGGCCAGAGCGATTCGTAACGCGTTCGGACGAGCTTAGAACAACCTTCAATCGAGCAAAGTATCGTCAGAGAATACAGCAGGAGGATCCAGAGGTTATTAATGCGTGGTTCAAGCTTGTACGAGAGACAATTGAGAAGTATGAGGTTCATTCAAACGACATCCATAACTTTGATGAGACTGGCTTTCAGATGGGCGTAATTGGCTCAATGAAGGTAGTTGCAGGCGCAGAGTGTCGTACGAGGCCTACTCTCACGCAGCCAGGCAACCGCGAGTGGGCTACTGTTATCCAGAGCATCTGCCCTGCGGGATATGCTACCCCACCATTTATTATCTACAAAGGACGCGTCCATAGCTCTGTATGGTACAAAGAGACATATATACCGTACGATTGGAGGCTCTCAGCATCATAGAATGGCTGGACAAACAATGAGCTTGGCCTTGCGTGGTTAAAGCACTTTGATGAGCACACGAAGACGCGTCAGGTTAGGGTCGTATAGGCTGCTAATTCTTAATGGCCATGAGAGCCACCTAAACCAAGAATTTAAGGATTACTGCCTCGTACGAAAGATCCTTACTCTTTGTATGTCTGCTCATTCATCGCATATACTTCAGCTACTTGATGTTGCCTGCTTTTCGCCTCTTAAGCAGAAGTACTCCCAACGCGTACGAGACTT